ATAGTCGCTCACTCACATGCTACCGGAAAGTGTGAGCCGACTCTGACTGCCCGATTGTCAGCAATTGACACCATTTCAATGTGGGCATGCATCAAGCTTGTATGAATATGACAAGGTTTGCATTTATTAATATCCCCATGTGCGTGTGAGTGTGTTTGTGTATAGATCTTTATGCAAGAGAGCAGCAATGCGTAAACTTACTTGTGCAACTATGCGACACCAAATAACTGGGAGGGTCTCTAGTAAGACTTAAAAGCTATCTTTATTTGTGGGTTATTTCTTGTCACCATGACGAAGATCTTAGGCTGTCGCGATAGCAGGTGGATCTTAGCTGTCTGTCGACGTTACAAACACACTGAACTCTGGCTTTACTCCACCTCTCAACCTGTGAGTGCATAAATTACATATTGCATATATTTTGAAAGAGGCTATGAATGTAGGTGTGCATTTTTGACACACGAATGCAAGAATGGGTGAATGTATTATTGCTTCTAGGTGGTATGAATCTACGCATGTGTGAATATAAGGAGTAAGGTAGTTCAGATAGGAAAGAATTTGCAAAAATGTTTATGTGAAAAGGTATAAATACAAAGCTGTATGAATGCAAGACTGAATTTCCTTATGAATTAAATGATACAAAAATGTCGGAATGAGTGAATGTTCGTAGGTATGACATCAAGTTCATAGCACTTTGCTTCCCGGTCAGTTGGGCAGCGTGACCAGCACCGAAACCGGCCGAGGTCAGAGTAGATCCTCCTCGCCCAAAAAGCGAACTGTATCCCATGCGGAGCAGGCATAAGTGTTTCCATGCCGGCCGTGTCACACAAGGCGTCTTGAAAGGAAGCATCAATCAATCTCTCCCTTTCCCTGTATGTTTTATTGTATCTGTATATGCTTTTGGCTTTATATTAATGTCGTTTGTATGGTAATGAAGGAGTGGTAATTGAATTTCCCCACACTGATATGAATAGATATAACGTTTCCATCGAATTTCACACCACCTTGCTTGCCCAAAAGGTGTTCTCCCGGCTAAAGTGGACCGCAATTTCCGAGTTTTATCAACACCGACAGCGGGGCTTGAACCATGACAGTGCAGCTGGCAACCTCGACGCGTTAACCAATACGCCACATTGTCACGAGTGCCCTTGGGCAGATGTGAAATTCAGGGAAAGTCAGACGTTTTTCCATATCATATTTTTTGGCGGGATTGCCTCGACAATCGACGACATAACCCTTCTTTTGAACGAAAATTACATTAATGTACACATGAATGCATACTTGATCTGGTTAGCCTATGCATGGGAGTATAAATATAGAAATTCAAGAATATAGGAATGTATTTATGTGTGAGTACTTGAGAGTATGCGTGCAGATGGATGCAAAGAAAATTTTCTTATTATGGAAAGTGTTATGGATGAATGAATAGGTAGTGTATGAATGTATTAAAAATAAAATGTATGATGCTATGAATACAAAAAGTTTTGATGTGCTGAATCAATGGATGATTGTGTGGATGGTGAATGTTTTACAGTGTGTGTGTGTGCGCGCTTTATGAATATAGCCCTGCAGGTAGGCATGAATTTATGACGTAAAGAACTGCTGACTTAAGAAATGGCTAAATATAAGAATGAGTAAATTAATGTATGAACACTGCCTTTATGAATGCAACAATGCACAAATGTGTGAGTGCACGTCTGTGTGAAGACACAAATGTATGATTGCGTGTATGCATTCAGGTCGTATGAACGCTTAAATGAACGAGTTCACGACTGGTTGTGTGAATGCATGGATGTGTGAATTCCATTGCGTCTTCTTGTAGGTGTGCCTGATTGTATGTGAGAAGCAGGGTCTGAACAATAACAGGCGAGCGTCAGTTGGCGATGCCAGGAGGCACATGACCTCTGACCCTGGTCCACCTCGGCCCCTTGCCCTTTTTTCCTGCAACAGCCCCTCTTGTCTGCTCTCTCTCTCTTCAGGTGTTCGGCATCGTGTTGCTGTCGGTGGGCGTCTGGGCGATCGTGGACAGCGGCACTCTGCTACAGACGATCAGCCAACTGTCCAGAAGCCAGCTCGGCCTGTCCACGCTCTACTCGGGCAGTCGGGCCGTCGAGATCACCGCCTACTGCCTGGTCGCTGTGGGTCTGGCCGTCTTCTTGATCGCCTTTTGCGGTTGCTGGGGCACCGTGGTCGAGAGTCGCGTCATGCTCATCGAGGCAAGCTTGCAACGGCACCGTTTGAGGCGTGAGGCTGTCTGTGTTGGACGAAGAAACGCTCGAGCATTCGTCCATTTGTGGGACTACGTGGCTTTCCTCCACACCCTCCTCCTTTTAAGGTTCATGGAAAAGTGAATGATGAAGACACTCAAAGGTCGATCTCGCCGAAAGACGACGGCCGATTCGCGTTTTAATGAGGTCGTTTGTCTTGAATACGACCTTCCGGTTGACTCAGTCCACGAGACATCCCCCC